AAAACAATTTTTGTACAATTGCAAAGGAAAATAAACTTGTAAGAACTGTTTCAAGGAAGCATGATTAAGACCTCATGGCAGCAAGTGTTCTGAAGATTGTTTTGAAAGGATTTAAGATGTCTCTACCAGTATTTAAACCATCTAAAAGAATTGCATAGCCAAATCCCATGTTAAAAATGTGACATTTTCTAATTTAGAGAAGAAGTAAAGGAAACAAGGCTTATGTGATCACACTGCCCATTGATTGTTCCCCTGCCAATAATTTTTAGTGTATTGGCCAATTTTGACCAAATGTGACAGAGTTAGAGATCCTAAGATGTTAAGCTTCTAAAATCTCAATAAAAATATGTGGCTAAATAGACAAGAGTGACCCTATTAGCCTTCCAGGGAAAGAAAGGCTATATCACAAACTTAACCCTTAATTAAACATTAATGAATCCATCTGGGAACTAACTCTAAAAGACAGATCTGCATTAGGCCAAGGCTCATTGATTCCATTGCTTCCAGGCCTTCTTGCTTAACTGATACTTTAGAAGAAAGATATCTTGATAGGCATGGGATCCTTTGTTTTTGTGTTTTCAAAAAATAAAACAGTTCCAAAATTGCATACAGTCAGTATGAAATGCAAAACTTCATCCCAGTAGCATATGATTCTAAATTAGAAATGGAATTTCCATCTCTCTAACAATTCCAAAGCCCTACTTCCCATCCCCACTTCCATACTTATTCTTGTTAGTCAAGCCATGTTTTCAATGTACAGTATATTCCAGTTTGATAATTAAAAAAACCCAAAAAACAAAAAACCCCCAAACAAATTAAAATGGAGATGATCCATTTCCTGTTTTTACATTCTCTTGCATTTATCTGTGTATTTTTATGAATCCTTCTTTGTTTGCACTTGACATTTAATTATTCATTTAAAAGATTCTATTCATTTTATTTCCATTCCTTTAAAATTCACATTTCAATAAGCAGATTGTGGCAGTGTCAGGTAATGAAATATATTTTCATGTGTTTAGTGTCCAAATGTTTAGTTTATAACATTTTTCTATGTATTCTATTCACGGCTTTTTATACGGGGCCCTCCCTTTTTCTAGCCTGTAAGATAACACTAATAATAAAAAGATTAAATGGATGTTGATGATGCTTTTGAACACTTTGTATGATTTGTTAGCCACATGCAGTGGGCTTTGCTATCATCAGCTAAACAGTAAAATCTCATACTGTATCAAATACTATAGATTGTTTACCATGATTAAACAAGTGGCTGGATACCTTGACTATAGTAAAAAAATAACTATAGACTAGATTTTTATGCATAAAAAGGTTCCAAAATATTCCATTCATTTAAACCTTAGATTTTTCTATATGACTATGTGCTGTTGTACTGGGTCTGGCTGAGATACAGTTAATATTTGTTATAGCACCCAGTGTATGTTTTGGATTTGTGGTTAGAAAACGTGTTGATAACAGAGGACCCATAACTTTTTCTGACATTTTCTATTTTCTCCCCTATGCCACTGCAGGAGAAGAGGGATAAGTGAGCAAGTGGCTGTGTGATGCATAGCTGCTAGCTGGGATCAACCCATCAGGACTCTAAAGTAGCAGGCCTTAGGAAAGCACATTTTCATTAGATTGCTCATGATAGTTCTTTGCAGCTCAAGGAATTGCCATGTGTTAGCAAGTGCACCCCTGTGAAAATGTTTTCTTCCCTATTGTTACTAGTAGTCCAGTAAGTCTTGAGTAAAGGATTTCATAACAATTAGGTTTGTTCTCAAAGTTTCCTTGGTAACTGATCCATTGAAACCAAAACCAAAGGAGAGTAAATTCATCCCACTATTGGTCCTGCTGTTCTTTGTGCTGCCATAGTGTCTAAGACTTTTTTCTGGAGCATGTCCAGTATTTTTTACAAAAATGAAAAACATCTCTATTGCTTTTGATGATCCTCTCTAGCCTTTTTACCCACCTTAGAAGGCCACCTTTCAGCTTTATCTTCCACCCTGCATAGTCTCTGATTGATCCTGGCTTTCATATCTATATTCAAGGAAGATATATTGATTATCTGCTTGTCATAGGACAGGATCTGATACTTTATTAAGGATATGGACTTAACCAAATCCAAACAGTAGAGCATATTAAGAACTTGCATCTAGATGTGAGAACAGACAGCAAACCTAACATTTGACAGTTCCCTGTCATTTTCAAAGCTGGTCAAGGGCTAAAGCCAGACAGAGGAGTGTATCCATAACAAATACAGCATATGGGAAATAATTTTTAAGAACTGCTATGTAATAGGTATATGTGTAATGTATACATCTACAGCTACATTCTGGAATAATTTGGTGCAGTAGGATTGGATCAGCAGATTGAAGCAGTGGAGGCTGATGCTGCTGTGTTTACAGTACAAGTTTAAGCTTTGAGTAAGATCTAATCTGAGGTGAACATTTCCACCTCGTGTTTTTCAAAACTTGTCTGAAGTCAAACATTATTTTGGTCCTTTTGTCCTTAGTAAGCATAGGAGTGTATTTGCTTTGGAGCTTCCTGTTTAGTTTCCTCCTAATGGAAATTAGCTTGCAAGCACCAAAACTTATCTGAAAACTGGATCAGTGCTTAATAAATGGGGACAGTGAGGAAATTGCTTTCAAATGCATCCTAGTGAGAAAGCTAATGCCAGTGGAGACTGTATTCCAGTGTTCAATGCAGACGTGCTTTTCTCCAATACAAGAAGTAGAGTGATATCACGAGTTCATTTCAAAACAAACAGCATATGTTACATGTAGTTAGGCTATAGAACACTGGTCACAGAAGTTTGTGGAAGCTGGAAAGCTTATAAAAGCTTAAGTAGAGAATGAGCAAGTTCTTAGAAGAGAACCCATTGAGAATTACATAGAAGTGACTTCCAGTGCAGGAAGTATTTTGCACGAACTACAGAACCTCAGAGGCAGAAGGGTTACAAAGGGTAAGGATTGTCTTTGTCCTGGTCCTTAACTTAAACTGAGCACCTGTTTTAGTGGCCAACAGAGGCAGGTTATTAGGCTAGATGAATCCCTGTGCCACTCTGATAAAGCTGTTCTTACATTCTTAACTCAAGGACACTGAGGAAACTGAAATCAACCATGTGGTCTAAGGATGAAAGAATTGCATGATCCTACTTCAGCAAAAAGAAAATGATATGCAAGCAAATGTGGCATTGCCAGAGAAATAAAAATAAATAAGTTCTTTTGTTTATGTAATTAATATTAATTGCCTTCAGTAACTCCATTACTGAAGATGAGGATTGATATCATGACTATGGGGCTTTAAGGACTGTTGAGGAAAATACAATGTTTTGTGGAAACCTTTCCTGACTGCATTGATAATGTTAGTTATTTCAGGTTGTGGAGGGGGGGAAATAAGAGCAGGATATAACAAATTGTGTGTAAAAGATTACTTAGAAATTGTGTGAAAGATTAAAAAATTGCTCTGGTTTCTTGTCTTATACATTGTGTAGTATCCGTAACTCCTAATTACTTAGGCATTGTTGCATGGAGTTGTTTGTTGGTTTTCTTAGCAAGTCTCAACATCTAAATTTCAAATACTTTTAAATAGTTCCTTGGTAGACATGCTTATAGATAAAAATGTGGAATGTAGTTTGTCATATAATACATTTCTTTTCTTTGTGTGTTCTTCCTAGAGGTCACACCTTTTTTTCTACTTTCTATAACAAATTAGAATTTCTTTTCTGTTCTTACAAGATTATAAAACAGTAAGTCAGGTCTTACCAACTAACTATAAATGTTTAAGCATGTTATTGCATTCTTGTACATGTGGAAGGACCTGAGCATACTCAATTTCTATTGTAGCTGTAAATATAGCTATGTTTGGAAATTTGCCTTACTTAACACGTTTTCATCTCCTTAAGAACCAGAAAGAAGTGATAATGTAATCATAAAGTGTACAATTTTACACACAGTTCAGCTTTTAACCATCTTTGTTTCTCCATATGTAGTTAATTTTGTAATTCCAACTTACATTTTCTAATTTTAATGATATACAATGAAATGGAATCATTCAGGATCAGTTTCTCAGAGGCCTTGTCAGTTAACTCAAATTGGTAACTGCATTTCAGCCAGCCATTGCACTCCTATTGATGGAGCAGCAAAAAATACAGTTCCTTATATTTTTATGAAGAAGTGTCTGAAATCTGTTTATATTAACATTTGCACTTACAGGATTATTCTAATGTGGAATAGGAAAAACATTTCCATGTTCGTGTCATTTTACATATGTGGTATTCTACAACAGCTAAAGTTGCTCCACTGTAGGAAGAAGAATTGATCAACATTTTGTGAGAAAACTAGTGCTTTTGCTGGAGTATCCAGCTTAGGAAACATTTTCAAAACTAGAGAATGCCCATCCCTTGAAAATCAAATCCTTTAAGTAGTTCCTGTGAGCATTCTGTAACAGAGGGGCTCAGATTCACTGACCATATTTCAACTGCTGGCTGCTTTTTCAGAAATATCATATACATACCATACATTTAAAACTTATACATATGTTTTCACTTTCCAGCTTCCTGAACAAAAACGTGATAGCTATATGGAACAGTTCGTGTTGACTATGTTTGGTACCTGTTCTACTCCAATTGAATTTCCAATTATTTGCCCTGCAAAACCAGGTTTAAATTTCTAAGTTCTGGTCTGTAACAATAAAGAATTATACAGAACTTCATAGTATGTATTTTTAATCTGAAAGTCAAATTTGATTATTTGCTTTTTATGAAATTAGTATCTACCACTATGTATTATGGTATGGATTTATTTGTTTTTTTTAAATCCAATGCACTTTATTAGTACAGTAGAAGCATTCATTTAGGTACAAGAAAACTAGCAAATTTTTATCACTGTCATTATATTCAGTGTAAAACCTATCCAATTTTGAACATAAGAGTTGTTTACTCTGTGGAATCTCTAAAACAGTAAGGCAGTAATTTATATATTTGAAATGTTTTTCATTGGCAGCTAAAGAAGAACGTAAAAAGGAAGAGAGCAGTTTGGAAAATGCACAAAAATGGTAAGGTTTTTGCTGGTGTTTTCTGTACAGTTTATGTTGGTCAAAGATATTATTGATCTTTGGAATTACATTAAATAGGCAAAAGGATCTGTACTTCAAAGAAATAATATGCTTTGTGAAAAATGTTTAGTGGTCTTCCAGGAAAAAGTTCAGCTGAGATGTTAGTAAAACAGTGGATTCTGTTTGGGGTTTTAGTTACTGTCAACATTGAATTCAGTCAGAGTTTTACAGAACACTGTAATAACTGATTTAGTCATTAAGGTAGTAATAATGTATTTCACCATCACTGAACATTTCCATCACTTAGGCTATTGAATGCAGTATACTAGGAAACCAGTGAAATCCTAATGTTTTTATTGCTCGAGTAGTTGTGCCTTACTTAGACCAAAGGAGGCGCAATAAGGGGAGGAGTGAGATTAATTGATTCATAGATAAATAGATAAAAATATGTAACAATTTAATATTTCTAATAAATATTGTTTGCCAAAATATAGTTTGTGAGAGTGAAGAATCTGCTTTAAACCTTGTTTGTGTTAGCTATGGAATTGCTAAAATAAAAAAGAGGAAAATTTTTTTAACTTCTAATCTGTATTTTTTCTTCATAGTCACTAAAGGCAGATTTGTGGTAATTTGGATTTTTATGTTGCTTTTCTGAGCCTGGAGTCACTCCACCTAACTAGAACACCTAGAATAGTCTCCCTAGACAGTCAAAAAGTAGGCATCTATCAAATACACTTTAAGTCATTGGCGAACTGTTTCCATTTACTTGCAGAAGGTCTCTAAACTGGCTGAATTATTGACTGACATCCACTGTGGCTTTACATCTTAATTTCATTTGTCAAGTGTTATGGCTGTCTTGTTTCCTTTTTACATAGCTACAAACCTACTCTTTGTGGCATAGGCTCTTTCATATTCTACCTGCTATGTAGCCTTTCTGGAGCAGAGTAGACATTCCAGGATATGGAGGTACAATTAATTTGCTATTTGCATAAGGAATTAGTTATCTGATTTTAAAAAAAATAGAATATGGGTTTTTCAATTACTAACTAAATGTTCAGCATTTTAAATTCCTGCTAAAAGGATCTGTTACTTTTGAAAGTCAGAAAGCAGCCCAGGAAGCTAGATTAAGCTGGGTGAAAGCAAACCAGGGCTACCGAGGGAGGGTCTGAAGATTAAACATGAAGTCGAGTGTGGAGTAAGTGTCAGGATAAAGGCAGAGTGAGAGAGTGTACAGGAATTCAGACTCCCAGAAATCACAGAGACAACTGTATTAGCCACAGCTGGGATGAAGAAGGTTTCAGTCAGGGAGAGGAAAGCATAATGTTACCAGAGCTGCTGTTACATGAAGCAAACCTGAGAAGAGAGTTTTTGGTCTTGTTGCTCCTGGTTCAGCTTTCCTAGTCAAGGTGTTCTTTAATTGAAGATAGATGGGATTGTAAGATATTCATGGAATGCTGCAGTATAAAAATAAATATATGTATATAGTATAGCAGTTCCTGAAATGCAAGAAGTTTTTCTCTTTAAAATTGAATGCCCTTCATTTGCCTGTGTGACATATCTCTACGATGGCTTATGCACCTCTGAATTCTCCTTCTGGGAATGAAGTAGGTGTTGGAAAGTTACTTACACTAAACATGAATTGCTGCGATGATTTCCAAGGCTAAGGGGAAGTTACGGTAATTACCAGCCTTGCCTACTGAATCAGGAACCAGCCCTCAAGAGAAATTGTTTCCCCAATGGGCTTATGTGTTGACAGTTTTTCTTCCCTCTCCCTCGTAGCTTTGAAGAGACAGTGGGATACTTTGGTATAAAGCCAAAGCCTGGCGAGAAGGAGATCACACCAAACTACGTTTTCACGGTGTGGTACGAATTCTGCAGTGACTTCAAGACCATTTGGAAACGAGAGAGCAAAAGTATTTCCAAGGAACGGTAAGGTTCTAATAAAGTCATTAATACCATTTTAGATGTCTGGGAAACTGTTCCTTCTCAAACCCAACAAATTATACTCCTATATTTCACAGGCGTCATTGTTTTCTTTCAGATCTAATGGACATCAAGGACAGATTATTCCCTCAGGGTGCGTAGGAAAATTCACCAAAGGCATGCTGTCCCCACAAAAAGATAAACACATATAATCTGATAAATTACACTTTTGTAACCCCTTCCAATTACTAGCTAGTAAAATGAAAGGGGAGCTGTGCTAATTTGTAACAGATTGCTTCTCTGTGCATTTTCATGCTGAACTAGCCTAAATGAGGCGATATTGCTGTCGCAGACAGTACAGACAAATAAAAGTGAATGCTTTTCCAGTTAATATACTGCACTTGCATCAAAGGGAAGCCCCAGAGATTCAGGCCACACTTAGCACAGTGTCGAAGCCCCACACTGAATTTACAGCACTACTTCTGACTTTTGGTGTCCTGCTGAGGACATCAAACTACTTGCCGCTAGATCTCACCACAGCCTCCTGATTTTATTAGTTAAGAGTAAAAAAAAAAGAAAAGGCAAAAAAGCTTCAATTATTTGCTTGATTTTCGTAAAGAAGCTTAAAATCTTTTATGAAGAAAAAACAATTCCACTACAAGCACACCATACTTACCATTTTTCAATTCATTTGAATAGACCTAAAACGTGGATGTGGTCACACTTTGAAAAAGAATGGATTAATCACTTTCAGGATGAGATATAAATCGAGGTACTTATTCCAAATGACACAGATTAAGAGAAAAACATCTTAAAAACTATCAGCAAAAGTAGTAGTAAACTTATTTACTACTAAAATAAGTAAGTAGTAAACTTATTTACACTAAAGTTTTCCATTTTTCTCCCAATCAGTGGGGCTTTAAGTTCACATGGAAGTAGCTTTATAAAGGACAAGGTGTAGAAATTATAAATTTCCAGTTATCAACCTCTTCAACATTGTTTTACAGATATTACAGATTTGAAAGACTTGAAGGTGGTATATTTTTCTATAATCTCTGATATGACTGGATTGATTTTAGAAGCTGACAACTGCAAATATTTATAAAGAATATTTTATTTCCTTGTGTCTAGATCAATATGCAGTTTTATTTTTCATGTTAAAAACTCTATAAACAGTACTAGCAGATTGTTATAATCATGATAAGGATAATCTCCAGGATGTATTTTCTGCTGAATTGTGACTTATTCTTGTTCCAAAAGCAGTTAGCCAGAATGCAAACCAACTAGCCAAGGGGAAAAAAAAATAAATCCAGACCATACATCCATTCTTTTTTATGTAGTTAGCACCTTACTGATGGCATAAAATGATCCCTGCAAAGAAGTGGACTTTAAATACCTTGTAAATGTTTTAATACTACATCACTTCTTAAACTTTCTTAATACTATATTGAAGAAATATTTTTTGTAAATAAACTGTTACATTTGTGCTTTCCTACTGAGGTGAGATGAGAATCTTAATAAGTATATAAATAAAATGTACAAATAAAAATAAAGCACAAATATTTCATCAGTTCCTTTGATGGATACCTTTATTCCTATTCATAAATAGAAAGCAATGCTAATAGAATACAGAGCTTCTGTTATTGTAATACTTCAAAGTGCTGATGCTTTCTGGATTATATAGACTGGTTTTCAGAGTTCACTTCAAATTATTTTTACAAAGTTTCATTAATCTCAAAAGGACAATTTGTTGTCCTTTACATTCAAAATTTGGGTGATTAATCAAGACAGCAAGCTGCTGAAATGCAGAGCCTTGTTTGTGTAATAAGTGAATTAGAACAGAATAACTGTTTTAATCATCCTGAATTTTTTTGTAATGTGCTACTGAAAAGAAAAACCTAATGAAATAAGTAGGTTAGAATGATGGAAAAACTATTTTCACAACCTGAAAATGTTGTGTAAAGTCATGACCTTTTAGGGGTTCTATTTTACAAACTATGAGACTAATAGTTAATGAGCTGCTGTCCAAGAAATTTTGAAAGCGAGCTCAGAGTCATTGTGCACATTGGTAACTAAAAACCTTAGTATGACAGGAATGGACAGCTGTCTTCCTTAACTGGCTAATTAATTGGATGCGCTGTTTGGTTTGCATTTTTAAAGATTGCAATTTAAAATAAATATCTGTTTATCATGATCTAATTCTTTTGTGTTGAAGGGAATTTTAAAGAGAAAGAACTATCAGTGTAAGAATGTTTTCAGACTTGTGTTCTGAAACTGAGGGATTGATAGCCTTATGTGAACATGTTTACAATTGGATTACCCTTCACATTTCAGGAGGAGCTGCAGAAACTCAGCATAAGATGTGCCTGAATTAGCTAATGACATAGATACCTAAAAGTAGTTTCGCAGTTTACATTTAAATAGGAATGTTAATATTGGATTATAACTTGTCTCTCAGGATATATGGCTCAAAACATAAAAAATGTAATTAGAATATGCAGAATTAGCATTGTGTGAAGACATAATTAAAATTCTATTATCTAAAAATTAATAGAAGGAAAAAAAGTCAAAACAAAATTAAAATTTTATACCCAAAACTAACTACTTAGTGTTGTTTAACAAACAACTTTAAAATCTCTGAATTTCAGGAAAAACTTGAAATTTGCCTTGAACTAAATGACAGCCTCAGCTGCAAGAGCCTGTTTGTCTAAAAACTTCTTGGCTCCCAAATGTAATACAACTGCAGAAGTCTAATTAGATTTCTATGAGACTTTTTCTTAAACACTTTAACTGAGCTGCCCTGCATTTAACTAACCATGAAAACAAATCAGCTGCTGGAAAATATGGTTGAATCACTGTCTGTTTTTCTGGACAAAATTTGCACACTATTTAGTAATGCAAGATGGAGTTACAGATAGATTACAAATCTAGATTGATATTATGTGATAAATGGTAAATAAATTATTGTACGATAAAATGAAAAACATTTTCAAAACCATATTCCTGATAATAATATTATAATTTTATTTCAGACACCATATTCCATTAAAGACCAGAATGCAACTACGATAAAATTTGCTTTGATGAGCACTTCTTCATCCCTTACAGTTTAATGTAAATGCAACACAATACTAACCAAATGTTGTAGACATTTTGTTTTGCATCAAAACCCATTTTAGTTGTTGCTTTATGATTGAGTATGTCTGTACATCAAGGTGCATCAGCTGTTCTGGTTTTGTTTTGCTTCCTTCTGTTTATAAGTTATAATAACTGAAGACTAAATCAAAGTGTATATATATATGTGTGTTTTTTTTAACAAGACAATTATACCATGTTAGGTTGCATATAATTCCATTCTCACTCTTTTTAGACTAATTTTACTTGCAGTGAGTATGCCTATGAATTCAGAATCCAAACAGAAGTGTATTTATAATCTACTAGTGGCCCACTCAAAAGGACTGCAGCATGTATTTGGTTTGAACTGATGTAGCCTTTTTTTTTTTCTATTGTTTTTTTCTTATGCACCAGCCTTCCTAAAGGCATAAAAATAGATAGCTTTTTTCTTATGACTACAGAGCTAAAATTTCTCACCCACTTCATACAAATATTCAAAACATTGTCATAGATCCTGAAAGAAATAGAAACATATCAATCATGTTAGCAATTTGAAGTTTGGAGATAAATTCCACTGACAGCATACATTTTAGTATATTTATACTGTTACAATGTCCACTGTTAGTGAACATTAAATGCAATTTAAAGATTTTATCAATAATGACCAAGTTCTTTCCAGAAGACTTAAGCCTGAAGGCTTGATCAGGCAATTGTATTGTACAACGTGGTAATAGAAATGGACAATGTTCAGGCTTACATTCTCTTATAAGACTCCTAATTGTGAAGCCAACCAAGGACTCTATAAAATCATCTGCTAGGCCAGGTGATAATACACAGGCATCTGTCTTCCAAAATGCTGAGACTGCATGTAGCCTGATACATTGTGTGGGCTGACAGCATTTTCAGGAAGTGGTGCTGTTACGTAAGGATTAGTTTATGGGCTGCATACAGAGATTATTTTATGACTGAGAGCAGTAGGGCATGTAACACGTTTAAAGAATTTGAGCTATGGGGGTATTTTGTAGTTTCACAAGGGGAGTCACTGTTCAGCTGTGTTAAGGATCTGAGCTGGGTATGCAGCTTGGCTCTAGGTTGAACAGTTAATGTTGACTTTAGCTATCCCTGCTTGTTCATCTCCACCCATATCGGAAGATTTGGTCTGCACAGCAATTCCTGTGCCAACACAGTCTTATGGGAGAAGTTGGAACTTCAAGTCATGGAAAGCTCAAGTGGCACAGAATTGTAATTCAAAGATATTTCATAACCCACAGCTATCCACATAACCCACCAGCTGCATGAAAGGAGCTGTAGAAGTGACGAGAATGGTTTATTACAGAATGTCAAGAGGTTGAGAGAGAACCAGATAATTTGGTCTCTGGGTTTACACGCCAGCAGAGCCTGAATATCCATGAGTAGCAAGTGGCTTGTTTAGAAGGGATTCTAGTTTTCCTTTTTAGGGTCTTTAGAGAATGGAGCATGCCAGCTCACACCTTCTTCTGTCCAACTTGAATGGGAAGCAAGGGTGAAAATACCTGATTAGTCTCTGACTTGGTAGTATCTTTTCCTGCAAGAAGGAAAAGTATTTTCATGAGTTTATGAAGAAAACTTTTTATCAATGTTACGTTGTGTTTAGACCTTGTTTCTGTGTCCCTAGTTACGAAATGAAAAGAATAATTTTGAATTAAAATAATGTCTCTATTTTTCACTAATATATTTTAATTTAAGAGGCCTGACTTGTATCCAGTTGACAGGGGAAGACAAAATCTGCCACATAAAGGCAGGAAAAAACCAATTATATTCCCATTGCTTATAGTAAAGATTTATATGCAGTATTGAAGTCATGCTTCTCTTATTTCAAAATACATTGTTTTGATAATATTGTTCAATTTATTTTTTCCATACTGTGTGGTAATGTACAATGCTGCTCAGTATTGCAGTTGGCATCACATTTTTATTAATTAAGGAATATTTACCTGTTTGGCTCGCTGTCGAAGGAGGGTAACTTTTCCTTTGAACACATCCATACTGCAACTGGTTAGATTTCAAGGCTTACCTGACCTGCATTCCTTAATATTTTGGCCTCATGTCATTGCTTGATAAGTTAGCATCTGCACACCTTATCTCTGTCTTGTAATTCAGCTGTTCTACCATCCTTTCTGGTCTCTTCATCCTCTGTAGTGCAGAAGTGTTCAGAAGTGTGCTTGTTGCTATTTTTCTAGTGTGTTTTACCATACCCTTCTGTCCCTTGCTTTTCTATTTTAGATATACTTCTGTTGTCTTTTCCAGTTTCTTCCTCTTTGATTTCACATCTATTAGGTTCAATCCCAGTTTCTCATCCATGAAGTCTCTAAACTATGGCTGGAATAGTGTGTCCATCCATGCTGTTTTATACTGATAGAAGGAAGGAAAAAAAGATAAATTTTCATTGACTCTATTCTTTTGCACATCTCCAAGCTCCTCCTCATGGTCATGCCTCTGTACATGTCCACTTCATGTGAGCTGCTCCCCAGCACATCAGTTCCCACAAAACCTCAGAAGAAAGTGGCATAGAGTGGCTAGTGGGAAGCTTCTTTCATGTTGTTCTGCCTACGCCTGTGAGTTTGAAATTGTGAAGCTCTATCTGAAGGCTGGATTCTGCTACTATTTCTCCAGGATAAGGCTCTTGAGATTCTTTTCAGAATAAATATTAATTGAACTTCCCTAAATTTAAGAACTTATTAGTCCCTGTTGTCTTTCCAGTTCATTATTGTACTGTCTTAATGGTTTCCCTGCCTCTCTAGGTAGATTAAGAACATCAGTTGTGGTTTGAAGTCTTCAGATGTATTTAAGAATGTATAGAATAATTATTCCATATTTGTGTATGTGAGGGTGTTGTTACAGCCTGAATCAAGATTGTCACTAAATAGTGTTGAAAATAAGTTTACTTAAAAGCAGTGTAGCTGTTTCCTCTGGTTCTTAAGCACTAGAAAGTGAGACAACACCAATAACTATGCAAAAGAAGCTTCTGAAATACATAGCTCAGAGAAGGAATTTTAGTTTCCAACACTGAACATTGATAAACACAATAATGAACTTACGAATGTGTTCATTTTTTTATGAAGTTGTCCAGAATCTAGTTTGCTGTTAGTGTTACAGCCTGGAAGTACACATCAGTAATTGCAGCTATAATCTGCTTTCCTTTTTGCTTTTATTCCAAAATTCCTCAAAAATTGAGTGTGTCAAAAGTGGTTTGAACTGGACATGGTATTTTAAGTGCTTTTTGACTGGCCGTAGCAATTATTTCTGCCAGTGGAAAAAATTCAATAGGACAAGAAAGCAGAGTTTTTCAGTTCAAGAGTGCCAAGAAATGTGTTGTTTATGGTAGAAGACTGATTTGGTGTGCATTAGTGAAAATCGGTTTGCTGAGTTCTCTTTTCTTGTATCAGTTAATTTGCAACTTTCTTGCTGCCTTTTGCATACAAAATTGTAAAGTAGGTGTTTATAGCGTCAGCATTTTAAAGGCATTGATGGCCGGGCAGATTCTGTTTTAGGAGTGCCAAGAATTTTCTTTCTTTTTTTAATCACTGTTTAGCCCGTACCTTCTCCTGCCCTCTCTGCTGTAAGAGGAGAGTCAAGTCCCTTTTTCCTAAATTCTGTTTCTCCTTTTCCTCCAGATTAAAACTCTCACTGGATTCTTCTTAAATCCCCACAGACAAAAAGGGTTCTCTATGCAAGACCCTAAGAGCAAAAGGCAAGAAACTGAGGAATCAAATCTGTGTTCTTCTTTTCCCTTACCTCAGTAGTTCTTTCAGTGGAATGGTCTGTAGCCACTCACAAGACAGGTTTAACTACCCCTAGACATTAGATTCCCTTCTAATTTGCCTCTCCTCCTATTACCACATCAGTGAGGCTGGCCAGTCTCTGTGTAAAGCAGTGGGGAAACATTAAGGAAAAACTGGAAAATTATTTCATTTCAAGGCTTTCAGAGGGAATACAATGTGTAGCCTGCCAAATGGCCTACTAAAATAGTATATTCTATATATACAATAGATTGAGCCAGCTAGTTTTGTTTTTTTTTCAGAGGAGTATCTTGTCTTGACACTGCAGCTTTTTTGGTGGGAAAGACACTCCATAAAACACACATCTTGCAGGAACAGAGAAACTATTTGCCTGGTGACATTTTCAGTGAACAATACAGGCAGACTGTCCCTTTCCTTTTATTTTCTCTATTTAAAAATGTACTCTCATCTACTTTGGGTAATGTATTAAGTGCCTTTTAATAGTAATAGCAGTTTGTTGGGCGAATGTGCCTAAATAAAGTTATGGGGATGGTTCTTACAGATAGAGTATATACCAACCACAGCCAAACGACCTTTTTGATTTCTTTGAATCTAATGATGTCTTTTCTTTGTGTTTTGTTTCAGAATTAAAATGGCTCAGCAATCAGTAAGCAAGTTAACTGCAGAGAAGAAAGTTGAAACAAAGAGAATCAATCCTACAGCTAGCCTGGTACGATGTGTTTGTCAGTATGACATTCAGAAGGGGTTTGTGACACTGTTCTTGTCATTCAGAATGTTGTTGTTACATGGTGACACAGTGTGCATAGTTTGCACATAACAGAGTCATGTTCTTTGTAAGGAGAAATTTTTGAACTCACGCCCTATGGTAGTCCAACAGTTAAGTTTAAAAATTAGGTTTAGTTGTGCATAAGCATGGCTCTGCTATTTTCAGTAGCAAAATATGATATCAGCAGCTTTTCTGATTTCTTTCCCAATTCCATTGAAGTATCTTTTGTTTTCTCCCATGCTCTGTAGTTCGCTGAGGCTCATTGCATATATTTGTCCAATGGTTGATTGTCTGTTTTTTTCCAAAAACTTACAAAATCTTGCTTGCTCTGTTGAAGAATGGTGGAAGGTATTAATTCCCCATTTTGTTCCTTGCTGTTTCCAAGATTTTTGGAAAAAAAAAAAAAAAAGAGACACAAAAAGAGACTAATGATTTTGTGTGTGGGCCAGGCACATACATTAGATCAGCATTTCTCAAACTGTAGGAAGCAAGAGACTAAGGGAAGGAAACATACATGAAGGGATCAGTACATTATTTCCATTCCCAGCAGAGTGTATCAGTTGCAGGGCAAGCGGCAGAGATACAAACTTGCCAGGGGATAGAGCATTAAACAACATAATCTAACTAATACTAAATCAGAACCTTTATGTCAGCAGAAACCATTCCAGACAAGAGAAGGTCTTAGATACACATTAATTTTAAGTGGATCTGTTTTTCTTTAGCTGTGTTGGTCTTCAGAGATTCGTGTTTTTAAAGGCACACAGGATTTGACAAGGTGTCATTTTTTTTTAATTAAAGAAAACTCTTAAGTACTTCTTTAGTATTTCTCAGTCTTCTAGACCAAATGCTTATGGCAACTTAAGAGAAGACAGAAAATGGTAATAAAATTCTTTCTTTATTTAACAGAAAGAAAGACTACGTCAGAAGGAAGCCAGTGCGACTGCCAACTGAGAGAAGATTAAAATGATAGTATGACTTCATACCTTGCATGATACTTTACTACACCCATGGCCCAGGGAGCACCTTGTGTTAGATACTGCATTCTGCTTTGCTGCTCTGTTCCAAGACAATCCACTAAAGACTTCTCAGTTCTTTCAGAGGGGTCTTTATGTTGGAAGTAAAAATTATTTTCTATAACTCTTCCTTACATTGCTTAAAATGCATCTGATTGTTAATGGCTATTTAAAGTACTCTGTGCATAATGCATTAATATGGAAGAGTTAAGGATTTTGGATGCTGAGTTAAGTAATGACTAACAACCTGTAGGTTATTTACAGGGCTTCTTGTAGGTGAGAGCAAATATGCCATTCAACTCACAGAAGACGATTACATAATACTTTTTGTTACTTCATCAGGAACTGAGCTAAAATTGATTGATCCTAAGTAATTTTACAGTGTCTAATTATTGGGTCTATCTTTCTAAAACTGATTAAATGTAATTATAGATTTATGCTGTATTTTACTACAAATATTTTTATAGAGGCTTCAGCTTATGCCATACATTGAAATGGAAACAATATTTTGCACATGAAAAGGATTAGCTTCAAATTCTTCAGTTTTTTGACTGATGGCATAACTGATTCACTATTTTTATGGTTTTAACCTAACATTTCCTAAATTTTGAGCTTCAAAAGAAAAATTATTAAAATGTATATTTTTATTTCAGTATATATAAAAAATATCAACTCAATTAAATGATGGGTTTATTAGTCATTATACATTGAACTAGAATATGACATGTCTCCATGAAGTTACACATTTGCCACTAAATCTCTGGCTTCCAATTATATTGAAAGCTTTTTTTAAAGCAGTGAATATCTCACTGTAAAATACATTATGCAGCCTGCTTTTGTCCCCCTATATTTCTATGAAGAATATTTCCAGCATATATATATATACATATATATATATATATACAAATTTAATAGGTAAAACTTGAGCAAGAAATAAGTCTTTTTCTCCTCTTGTCACATTACAACCATTGCAGATAAAGTAGCAAAGCCTGAAAAAAACCCTACAGAATATCCAATGTTGCTTGAAGCTCCTTACTACATTTTAAGAATTTTAATTCATAGAAGGAGAAATCTTGAAGCAGAAGTTAATTTAAGGTAAAACAGAAAAGTGATTCTTAAATACAAGTAGGTAATGGCCTAAGAATAGGAACAAAAACTGAAGAAATCATGCTTCTGTCTGCTGTCAGTAAGAGAGAGAATGAAAATGGTGTCTGAAGTTGGTTACAAAGATAAAATAGGTGAAGCAAAAAAGTACAAAAGGTAATAGGGGAAGGCATTAGTCCTTTGCTTAAAGGCTGGAAGGAACATACATGAGGCAGATGTGGATTATCCATACAGCAGATTAGACAGAGAAACTGTGATGAAACGTAAGGCGAACTCATCCCTAGAACTGTACACTTATTGAGGAAAACAATATTTGTGGAGACCTCCGTTCATTAATTAACTTGATCTTTTCATATACTTCAGGTTTCTTGAATAATGTCTCTCTTAGTCCTGCATAAATAAAAATAAAGGAGTCAAGATTCTCATGTATGTTTTTGAGTTTCTAGATGCTGCAGATATACAAGATGTGTAAGCATCATTCTTACCAGTTAAGAATATACCAGCAAAATAATCTGATTTGTAGTTTGACTATTCCCATTGCAGAGAAAAAATTCCAAAGATAGAAGTTTTTGTCTTCCACTAAATAGTTAAAGTACATTTGTTTCCAATGTTATTAGTGATAATCAACAACAAGAGCAATAATGCTTATAAAAACCAAAGAACAACAGCAAGTAAGGCAATTCTGATGAGTGTTTAAACAAACAACTGTGGAGTTTTGATAGGTTTTCTATCTATCATGGAACCAGTGTATATTGCCATTTGACTCTATCAGGAATTTCTCAATGAAATGTTTTCCTTGAAATGTTTATCAACAAGATTTTTTTCATAGTTTGTGAAAAAGGGTTGGTCTTGAAAATTCTCATTAGAAAAATATTATGGAAAAAAAGTTTTTAAATTATTGAAATATCCTGTTTCAAAATTTATAAATGTGAAGTTTGTTTTTCAGTTAAAATTGACTTTTCATTTTGAAATGTTGAAAAATGTACATAAAAAGGGATTAAAATTAAAGTTACTGACGTAAAGCATTCCTTGATCAGATTTATAATTCTTTTTTCAGATTATCAGTTTGCCACAGCTTTGAGAATTTAGGCTGTTTCTTCAGAAGTTCCAAATTTAAATAGCATGGAGCCATTATTTCTTCCCTATCTTTGATCGTACTCTCAAAAGAGAGATTCTGATTCCAGCTTTCCCATGACTCCCCATCCTCTACTACTAGTAGTTAGATCGGTTTTAAGTTAAGAAAATTAAACACTCAATTTGATTCTTAATCAACACTTTAAGACTCTTGTATGGAATTAATCAGCTCAATATCACACATTCCTAGCATTACCCAGAAGTGTCTTCAGACAGTGATTGAAGTGACAATGGTCACTCACTGACCTTAACTAAAATGTATTAGACAATAAATATTAACAGATAATATATATCTATGTAAGCTGTTTGATTATACAGTATTTAGACACTGCAGACATAACAAGTGGGCATCAATAAGCATTCATCTTGGGGTCAGCAAGTATCATCAAAAGTTAACAAGATAACAAAGATAACAAGAAACGTTTCTACATATACCTTAATAGCAAAAGACAGACCAGGGAGAGCCTCCCCTGTTTGATGATGGAGGAAACATATTAACAAAGAATGAGGAAAAGGCTGAGGTGCTTAATGCCTTCTTTGCCTCAGTCTTTAGTAATATGATCAGTAGAGCTGAGGGATTTCAGCCCTTTAAGCTAGGGGACAGGGACCAGGAGCAGAATGACAACCCCCACAGTCCAGGAGGAGATGGTCAGTGATCTGCTGCACCACGTAGATGTACACAGGTCTGTGGGGCCAGATGGGATACACGCAAGGGTGCTGAGGGAGCTGGAGGGGTGCTCACCAAGCTACTTTCCATCATTTATCAGCAGCACTGGTTGACAGGAAAAGTACCAACAGATTCGAATTCAGCCAGTGTAACCTCCATATATAAGAAGGGGTGGAAGGATGGTCCAGAAATTGGCAGACCTGTCAGTTTGACTTCAGTGCTGGGAAAGCTGATGGAGCAGATCATCCTGAGTAATATTATATCACACATGCAGGATAACTAGATGATCAGGCCCAGTCAGCATAGGTTTATGAAAGGTAGGTACTGTTTGACAAACCGGATCTCCTTTTATGACGGGATGTCCCACTTACTGGATGAGGGAAAGGCCGTGGATGTTGTCTATGTTGACTCTAGTAAGACATTTGTCACCATTTCCTACAGCATTTTCCTAGACAAATTGGCTGCTAATTCTTGGATGGGCATACACTTTGAGTCCTGTTCAGTGGAGTTTAATCCAGTTGGCAGCTGGTTCCCCAGGGCTCAGTACTGGGACCATGCCTTTTTAACATCTTTACCAATTATCTAGACAAGGGGATAGAGTGCACCCTTAGTAAATTTGCAAATGGCACTCAGTTGAGTGGAAGAGTTGATCAGTCTGAGGGCAGGGAGGCTCTGCAGAGGGATCTAGACAAGCTTGATCAATGGGCCAAGGCCAATTGTATGCGTTTCAATAAGGCCAAATGTTGGGTCCCCCACTTCAGCCACAACAACCCCCAGCAGTGCTACAGGCTTGGGTAGGAGTGGCTGCAGAGCTGCCCAGCAGAGAGGGACCTGGGGGTGCTGATTGACAGCTGGCTGAACATGAGCCAGCACTGTGCCCAGGTGGCTAAAAGGGCCAATGACATCCTGGCCTGCATCAGGAATAGTGTGACCAGCAGGACCAGGGAGGTGATCTTACCCCTGTGCCTGGCCTTGGGAAGGCCACACTTTGAGTTCTGTGCGCAGTTTTGAGCCCCTCACTACAGAGACGACATTGAACTCCTAGAGCATGTCCAAAGAAGAGCAATGAAGCTGGTGAAGGGTTTGGAGCACGTCTTGTGAGGAGAAGCTGAGGGAGCTGGAGTTGTATAACCTAGAGAACAGGAACCTGAGGGGAGACTTCATTGCTCTCTACAATTACCTTAAAGGGGTTTGTAAAGAGGTGGTGACTGGTCTGGTCAATGAAGTTATAAGTGATAGGACAAGAGGTAGTGGCCTCAGGTTACACCAGGGGAAGTTTAGATTGGTTGTTAGGATTAATTTCTTCACCTGAGGGGTTGTCAGGCATTGGAACAAGCTGCCCAGGACAGTGGTGGAGTCACCATCCCTGGAAGTATTTAAGAGTTGTATACACATTGTACTTAGGGATTTGGTTTAGTTAAGTACTTGTCAGTATTAGGTTAATGGTTAGACTCAGTGACCTTGAAGGTCTTTTCCAATTATGATAGTTCTGTGATTCTGTGATTCTGTGGAGTGATCTTTACCTTATGTACAACATTACCACTTAAAAAATTAAAGACCTCTTAGCATCTTTGAGATATTTTGACAATATAGATTTTATGTTCACAATGTTTATATTAATCTATGAAAACTGCTCAGATGTTTAGCCATGACTAACCCATGTAATGCTTTTTTATCATGTGCTATATTATAGGGTTGTAAATTTATAGATTAAATAGTATAGTTTTGTATTTAACTTAGAAATTTTTTGCAACAAAACAGAGACTGTGTGATCTTCAGTTTCTGTACATATAGAAAGTTAAAGTAGAATAGATGAAATATTCAGAAAGCAGAGAGAAAACTAATTCAACATCTTAAGCAGTTTTACGAAGGATACAGTTTACATAGGATTTCAACCTTTCTGAATTGCTGATGATACCTTCTCCAACTAGATATAAACAGCCAGGGTATCTGACCAGTCTAATTTTTTTCTACATGAAACATAAATAAAATATGTTGTTTTCCATATGATGTACAGGGTTCTTATTGCCCTG